AATTTACAAGTTCGACAATGTACAGTCCTTTGCAAGTCGATCAGCTGCCTCATTCCCTTAGATTATTTCATGCCCTGGAGCAGCCTGGAGCCACATAAGTGTGACTTTGTTGTTCTTTCCCAGTTGCATGAATGTAATCTTTGAGGTGAAAACAAATGATTTCAGGGCTTTTAGTGCATCTTGGCTCTCTGAGCAGATATAAATGTTAGCGTTCCTCAGACCTTTGCTCAGGCATTTTTGAGCGCATAGGTTTATGGCATGCATTTCAGCTTGAAAGATATAGTGGGGGAGTCACCCGCGCCGAACCTTTTTTCAAACAAACAAAGGACCCTCAGTCCAGCTGAGGTTCAGCGGAACCGCACCTAAAGCGACTTTTCATAACCACTTCAGAGGCAGGACCGAAATTATGAGCTCGGCTGGCATTAAGTCCGATGGCTTGGTTGCTGATTCCATCTGTACTTCTTATAGAATGACCGTGTGATCAGTGATATCACCTGGTCTGTCCAATTCAGTAGAATTCAGTCTGTATGCACCGAGGTATGCACTGAAAGCTGTACCTAGTCCTTTTAATTAAAATATGCAAGGATAGTAGATTAAGCATACCTTCCATTGCTGCAGTAAAGCACGTACGCATAGCCACCGTGATCCCAAGACACGCGAGTCTTTGATTTTTTTGCAGCTTAAGTTGTGCTGTTTTTCCTTCCCTTTTATCTAATACACTAGAGAAGCGTATGTGACCTTGGGTCTAACCACCGTAATGTAAGACCAGTAGATTATATTTGGTTTGAGACCCCAAGTTTGACCAAACATCCTTCGCCATATCCAAAGGGCTGAAATTGCCCTATCGACGATTGTGGTCAAGTGTTGGTTCCACGCGAGGTTCCACGTTAGTTTCTTGTCTATAGGATTACTCCTAGATCTTTGACCTCTTCGGAGAAGTTGATAGGCGTCTCATCCATTATGGGTTTCTTTAAATTGATCTTCCTTCTTTTGGTGAATGGAGCGATGACTGTTTTCCTCGAGTTGACATTCAAGCCCTCCTGAAAGTACCAGTCTTTCAGCATGTTGAGTGCAGTCTGAATTGGGTTTGATTAAATCCTATCATGCTTGCTTACTTGAACATCGAGTATAGGTTATCGACAACTATGGAGCATTAAAAAGGAGACAGTACCCCCTCTTTGGGGGCAGTGACCTGTGCAGTTACCAAGCTGCTTTCTACTGTAGCTTTCATTCTTCTACTCCTGAACATGGATTCTATCCAGCCTGTTGTTGGAGCCTTCAATTCCTAGATGATATTGCCTCGCTCTATCGATTCATAGGAAATGTTTTTTCTTTGCCTAACATGAAAGGGTACGTTATAACGTGTTATCCGGTATATTTATCGTGGGTCCAAGTCCATGATGTTCATGCATTGATGTAGGTCAATGAATACGAAAAAATTGATATCCAGAACGTTCAGACTAACTTTATGTATATACAATATATCAGTATGTTCATTTTAGATAGATTTTTTGGGTTGCACAGAAATGAATCCATTTGTTCATGGAAAATCGTGCGTAAATAGGGTAGATGGGAAAGAAAACGTAGATACTAGGTTTAAACCTCGGTTTAAACATATTATGGACACATTATATGTATTGTTAGTCTGCCCATGAATATTCACCCATCTGACTCCAAACTATATTATGTATATTAACGTGAGTTACTAAACAAGCTTTATGAAAAATAACTATTGAATAAACTTCAGTTTGTTTTCTATTTTTGTATCAGTAATTATCTATACGTGAGTTGGTGAAAAACTTCCTGCAATATTGTTACAACAATAGCTCAAAAGATTTCTTGATTATACCTTGTGCACGCATAGTCACATAGTTATTCAGTCAGCTTTTTCTGTCCTTCAAATTCCACGAATAAATCCACTTGAATTGCCTCATAATCAGAATATCAATGTTGATTCGAAAAGTGGAGCGAACATAGTTGAAGCATGTTATAGTCTACTCCAAAATGGAGGCCAAATTCTAAATAATTCATGGCAATGAAGATTTGGGAAATACCCAAAATCGTTATATTCGTAATCAACATCAGGATATACCAGTACCTATCAATCATAAGATAGCTATAGTTTCTCAAGACAGAGATTCTATTGGAATTTTGTGAACGAATTGCCAGATGATGCAATACAGACTGTTTCGGCTTACCAAGCCTCATCAGTTGCACTAAGCCAGCTGAAAATCGATTCACGATGAAAACTCCTATTCAGTGCTCTCCAGAAGTAATGCATAGATTGAATCAAAATTGAGTGGTTAGTTTTTTGAAACAACCTTCGGACCTGTCGATCTTCATTGTTTGAAGCGGCTTTCTTGATGGTATAATGGGTAGCTCAAGTTACAACCTTCAATTTAACTTTTTTAAATGGGAACACCTATTTCGTATTACATTTTCGAATTTTGCACCTAGTACTGAAGTAAAAACCTGTTGACTCCAGATTTTATGGTCGTTCCACATATACTATCGATTTGGGGTAACCTCACAAAAAAATCCATCGGAGTCAGGTAAAGCGAACTCGCAGGCCATTCGTTAGGTCTCCTTCCTCCTATCCACCAGAAAATTTCAGGTGTCCCACTTCAATTGCGGCGCACTGTAATATGTCAGACAAACAGGGTGGATTTATGTGCACACTGCTCTTTCATCAATCTGTTGCTTTCTTTGACTATCATTAAATTCATTTTCATTCGATGTCTTTATGCACTACCTTATATTAATTTTTGCATGATCAAAACATAGTCCTCAGTGTACTAAGCCCGATAAAAATATTTGTGTTCTAACCTTCACTGCTCACATTAGTACAATAGATACAATTTTTTCAAAGTATTACTTGAACAGGCAATTAGGATTTTGAAAAAATTCGACCACATTTTGAAAGAATAAGAAGAAGTAAGTTGGTCATCTCTTAGCGAATAGTTAATGAAGGATAAAAATTGATTTGGGTGCATAAATGATTGAACGGAAATACCAAGTTTCAACTCATTACTGAAATCGTTAATGAGTGTGAAACTAAAGAATAATCGAAAAACGGCGTGCATGATTCCACCTTCACAAAGAATTATATTCAATTATTGACTTTGACCAAATACTTGGAAATTGATTTCAATCGGCGTAAAATGAATTGATACGGAGAAGTGAGTCTCAGTAAGTAATATTTGCATTCACTTTTTTGGAGTTAATCCGTTGAACGTAGAGATAATGATCAATATAGACTTTCCGAAATAAAGGAAAATCATGCCTGATACAGGTGATTCATATCTTTAAGATTCGTTAGTATATACAGTGTGACCCATTGTTAATGGAAAGACCCCCCTAAAATTTGAAGTTGTGAACCGATTTCAATGATTCTTATTTTCGAATATCAAGTACTAGAAGGTCTACCTTTGGACACAATTTGAAATGTTTATTTCAATTCTCAGGGCACACTACGATATTTTATTATATTTTTCATCAGCGATTTTTGTATTGAAAAAATCACTACGCCACTGGATTCAAAGTGCCTCTAAACAAGTGTGACCAAAATTTCATAAAAAAATATTCATTGATAACAAAGTTATGACAACTCAAAAATTCGAAAACTAACACAGCTAACAGTCACAAAAAATACTCTATATCGACAGGTATAGCCATGAGAATATTTTTTTTTTCTGTGACGGGAAAAAAGTTTGGCATTTCATCTCTGTTGGCAGGTTATAAAATGTCACTTTTCATAAATTACTTTTTTCCCGTGGGAAAAAAGTGAGTACTTCTTTCCCGGATATATATCACATATATATACTCTGTTAATGGCTTTTGTTGTGCTATAGTTCCGAAAAATAAGTCAATAAAACCGTCTCCGAGAAAGAACTGCAAGTCCTTTTATCTTCCATTCGACTTCGGGGTTTCGTATATTACTAAACAACTACTGAATTCGCAATTTATTAAAATCAAATCACAGAATTGGACTGACAGAAGTGACATCAGATATTTGATTACTTCAAAAGAATGATAAAGATGTCTATAAAACGCAGGTGTCCCTACTGTTAAAAGCTTGAAATTTCACGTCGATAATTTTCAGATTTCGAAATAATGTAATATCTTCCCAATATTGAATCGCCCTTCCTTCTGTCACAGAAAAAAATAGTGTATTATACACGGGAAAATATTAGATTTTAGCTCACGGTTTTTTGTCTCCCTCCGCTACGCGTCGGGAGACAACACAACCTGGAGCTAAAATCTACTACTTTTTTCCCTTGTATAATAAATAACTATTTTATGATTTCAACAATAAAAGTTCCACCAGATAAAAAAATGATAGCGTGATTTTTTCAATGAAAATAACGGAATTACATTCATTCAATTCAATTAATAATGAAGCAAAAAATTTAAAACATTTACGCTATCAATTTTTTTTTCATCTGGGTGGCACTTTACTGTTGAAATCATAAAAAAAATATTCTCATGGCTATATCTGTTGATATATGGTGTTTTTTGTGACTGGTAGCTGTGTCAGTTTTCGAAATTTTCAGTTGTCATACCTTTGTTATCAATGAATATTTTTCCATGAAATTTTGGTCACATCTGTTCAGAGGCACTCTGAAACCAGTGGCGCATTGAGTTTTTCAATAAAAAAATCGCTATGTAATAAAAAATCCCGATTTTTTACTAAGAAAAAATATCGTAGTATGCCCTGAAAATTGCAATAAACTTTCCAAATTCATCGCAAGGTAGACCTTTTAGTACTTGACATTTCAAAAGGAAATTATAATCCTTTAAAAATGGGTCACACTGTATAAATAAGTTATGCAGGTCAATGTTGGGTTAATTCATTTCACGTATATTTCTCTTGAAGGAGCTTGTCGTGTCCCTAAGAATTATATGAAAAAATTATCATTTGTTTATACAAGTTCATACAATTACTATAGATTCTATCAAGTATCATTCGAGTCAATTGAATATTTTATTTTTGATTCCAGGTTTACACATCGATGGAGGAGCTAAAGAGATTTGGCAATCTAAACACGGAATATCCACTTTCCCAATTAACAATATGCATGGGCTTCTTTTTCGTTTACTTCTTGGAGGAGGTATCGCATTGGTTGATCACGAGACTACCAGCTGAACCATGTCCTCCGATAAGAAAAAAAATCAACAACTTCACGCGTTGTTCAGTAACACCAGTGGACACTGACAAACCATTCATCATTGAAGATAAGTACGAACAAGACAACAATCTGTCCCAAAGTGATTCAGGAAACGACACTGAATCAGAACGTTGTGGTGACAACGATGATACTTCGAATTTGGAGAGAAGCCTAACTATAGATGAGAACCGCGAAAATATAGTCCATGACACACTCAGCTTGAACTCAGAGGTAGAGAAACGAAATCAAAAGAATTCTGATATGTTTAAAGAAAATACAAATGTTGATCTTGACAAAGATATGAATGAACAACTGCACCGAGAAGATGAATTAATGGATGGCGAAATCAAGACACAACAGCAAATCATGAGATGTTTCCTGATAGTACTCGCTCTATCTTTCCACGCAATATTTGAAGGACTAGCTATAGGTCTCCAGAACAATCCTGCTGATATTTGGTACCTTTTCGTAGGGGTGTCGATCCATTCAGCAACAATTTTGTTCTGTATAGGGCTAGAACTTCTACTAGCCAGATCTACGACCAAGAACATTTGCTTACTGATGCTGACCCTAGCGATCGCGAGCCCTTCCGGAGTGATTCTGGGACTTTTTGTGACTATTAAGAGTGATTTGGAGACCAGAGCGAAATCTACGGCTGTAGTTCTGCTAGAAGGACTTTCTGCAGGAACTATTTTATATATTACTTTTTTTGAGGTGCTCAACAGAGAAAAAGAAAGAAGGGTGTATAGAATACCGAGAGCTATTTGTATAATTGGAGGGTTTTCTTTGATGGCTTTTTTACAATATCTAGAAGTTTACCATTGAAGAACTATATTTTTGTAGATATGTCTTTATTATCACTTATAAACAGAGCTTTTCGATTTTGATCATGTTTGGATTCTTTTCTACTCAAATTATGGGATAATCTGAGACAATGGAAACCGTTTGAAAGTTATTCATGAAATATATTTTTATTATTCAAACTTTCAAGGTACATAACTCCGTAACAAAGTGTGATAGAAATATTTTTGAATGAAGAACCAACATTATTTTGGTTCACTCTATCAGCTTTGTCATCTATACTACCTGAACTTTCCGGACACTCTGTATATTCTCAACTATAATTGTTGATGGATAATACTTCCCGTGAGATGAATTAATGAAAAAGAAGTCAAAGTTATCTTCAGAATAAATGTATTTGAATTTCAATTATTCTATGCAATCGACATCAAATTTTCGACAAAATGGGTACATTGTAGAACAACATTAAGTACCTACCTACATGTATATGTTATTGGTATAATAGAAAGCTATATTTCCCCAAAGATTGGTAAGTTGAACAGAACCAACCGATATACTATCACTATATTGATGAAATATTTTGTTGAATAACTATTTGGTTTTACTTTCGGACTATACAATAATTGGAAGCAAGTGATCTTGATATCAGTAGGCTCACTTTTATTTGTATATTATCGTGTAATATTGATATATAGTCCAGTAGTCAGGGATTGTCAGTAAGCCTTGCCCTGCAAAAGGTCAAGTAGTTTTGATTTTTGGATATTTACTAGAATCCACGGTAATTATCAGATTTCCAAATTTGCGACCTCGGCGACCGCCCACGTCAACCGCCATTTTGGAAAAAGGCGTCGAAAATCGTCTACTTTTGCATTATCTCCGCACTGGTATGTCCTATCATGAAAATACCTATTACCAATTTCATAGAGAACTGAATTACCTACAAATTTGACTGAAATATTTTTTTGTACGACTCATTATAAGGTAATCACCTTCCTGTAAAATTGATTGATTTTGCACTCCTTCATTCGTTCTAGAATTGATACATGAGATAATAGCTGATGATGAACCTATAAAGGTTCGGAACATGTCCTAAAGTCGTCCAGATTTTCATCAAATAATTGAAGAATATTTCATGAAAAAATCTGAAAAGATTGTAAAGTACTGCGATTCTCTTCCTAATAGTGAGTTCATAGAAATTTACTGAACTCAACCAAACTTCATTTTATCGTGATTTGTGAGTTCAAGGATAAGTTTTACTTATACGTTCAGATAATCTTACTTCACTCATATTCTCAAACATAAATTTGCTGAATCAGATAATATACAGGGTAGGTCAGTTTTTTGTAGCTTGAAGAACACATATTTTCAAGAAGACAAATGTTGCAATATGTTTCAGAAACACCCGCGAATAATGATCTTATATGAAGCTGCTCTGTATTGGAGACGCAGCCTGGTATATTTTCATAACATTCTGCCAAGTTCAATCATGATATGGAAATGGAAAAACCCAGAAAAAGGAAGTCCAGAAACCATATAGAACGAATTTCTCCTTCTCAATATTGTTTGTTTTTACAAATGATTGTTATAGTCAGATGCCGAGAGGTCTTTTCATTACAAATGAAAGCTTTTCATTACAAATGAAAGCTTTTCAACTAATGAGAATAATCCATGTTTAGATTAGGTAGATATCGCATGACAAGGTCATACTTGAATTTTGCGGGTAACTGCAACTCATAACAGCGCGTTTTCGTATTTTATTTTTGCCAGAGCTCCCTTACTATGAGTCGTACAAAAAAATGTTTCAGATGAATGTAGGAAGATATAATATAGATGGTCTGTTTTGAAAAAGGATCCAACACTCAATTATTGAGCACTGAATGGAGCACAAAAATGACGTAGATGAGGGTTGCTCTAAACCTCACAAGATGGCGTTACTGTGAACGAACCTAACGTGGATCAATACTCCAGAAGATTCTCTTGAGATAAAAATGATAAAATCATCGCTTCAAGTGAGTCGGTCTGTGATTGCCTATATAAAAATAATACCATTCTCGTTTTAGTTATGCTGCCTATTGATAATTGCATCACTGATAGTGGAGAGTAGAGTTATTGAAAAACGGAGTACCGATAACTCTATCAAAGTTTATCTGACTGAGGTAAATATGTGCCAATCAATCCTACACGTCTTTTGACTATCGTTGATGTTGACAATTTCGAGAACATAGAAATTAATATACCCTTTCCACAATTCACAACGTAGTGAAATATCAGTACTACGTCAATTATTGTTATTTATAGTTGTCTTATGTAGGTATATAGGCATGTTCGGTTTTACACCACATTTTCATGATTGATAGAAGTGACGTCACTCACTGATGGGAATAAAAAGTACCTACCACTCGAAATTCCTTCAATTTATGATGGTGTCAATAATGCAGCTATTCTTGTATTTTCATATTCTAGGCTGATTTGGATTAATTCATTCAAATGTCTTATTAGACAAAGGGCAAACAGCTTTCAAATCCAATATTTAGTTTCTAGTTTTCTGAGCATAGTCGCTGTCATTTCGAATTCCATCAAAATTCGTCCACCATCTCTCTACATCGTTGAAATGGTTTGCAATTTTGGTTGACATAACAGTAGGTAATGAATGAACGCGTGGTTACGTCAAACTGGAATCCACCAAAGAATATACAGTGCTTTTCTTTGCCCCCCTCCCTGGTATTTTTTGAACGGGTCAACTAAAAAAATTAAAACTTGGGGTGATGAAATTTTTGCATGAATACTATATTTTGGAGTAGAATTGACAGATGAAAATTTCAAGATGGCGACTAGGCGCGCCATCTGGGATAAAAAAATTGAATGGAATGGAGAATCTTGTGATACATCATTTTGAAGCTCCTGGTGAATACTTCACAACTCTAGAATACAAAGTCAATATCTTCATATACTACAAAATGGCGGATTATTTATTAATTGTTCTAAAAAAAAAATTGTTGTAAAATTGTCTCAATACTTTGACGTTTAACTTCATATTTTGAGAAAATAAAGTGAGTTCAGTTCAGAAGATGCTCGAAATGTTTGTCTTGAACTTCTTGACATAAAAACAGCCTATTCGATATTTCTCGAACACAGCAACGTCGATATTTCTACAAATATCCGTTATTCTCTGCCGTATGTCCAATATTGAAGCAGGTTCAGTTTCGTACACCTTCTGCTTCAAATAGCCTCATTAGAAGAATTCCAAAGGTGTCAAATCTGGCGAACGGGCTGGCCATTCCGTATAGTACCTCGACGGACAATCCAACGACCGGGAAAAGTATTATCCAAATAGTTTCTGACTTGTCTGGAGTAATGTGGTGGTGCTCCATCTTGTTGGAATACAATATCCATATCAAATTTATTAGGATACGCTTCGACGATTTCGGTGATTAGAGGGTCAACAGTATTCTGCAGCGTATTCAAATACAGTTCCCCTGTCAAATTTTGGTCAATGAATAGAGGTCCTACAATATGGTTTCCCAATACTCCTGCCAAAACGTTAATTTTTTCTGGATATTGAGTATGAGATCACCGGAAAACGTTAGGGTTGGTGTCACTCCGATAACGGCAATTTTGTCTTGCCGTTGAGAAAAAATGTACATTCGTCACTGAAACAAATATTCTGGACATAGGAAGTATGCCCTGCAATGGTTTCCGCCATAGTTTCGCAGAATTCTATTCTTCGATCAGGGTCATCTTCAGTAAACTGGTGTACTATTTTGACTTTGTATGGATGATTCTTATTCCTCTTCAAAAGTCTCCATGCAGTAGAAGGACCCACCTCACAAACATTAGCGAAGGAGAAAGTAGACTGTTGAGGATTTACTATCATCTCACTAATTATTTGAACTTGCTGTTCCTTCGGAATGGTCGGTAGTTGTGAAGGATACAAGTTCCCTCAAATATTTTCTAGAGATAGGACGATTCTTTGAACGATCATTAAAAATAAATCGCTTGAATTTTTACTTCGAATGGACGAGAATTGACCATTTTAGAAATATTTAGTAAAACCAAAAACTGAATGAGAATATTTTAACAGAATAATGATGTTCGTTGTCGTACTAACATTTCTTGTCTATTTTATAAACAAAAAATATCTTCTAAAATCTTATCGATTTTTTGAGATTGCCATATATATGGCAGGAAAAAACAAATATTGCTACATTGCTAGAAATAACGATATTAATGTTTTTGTATTCAAGCAACTATTAAATGTTTCGCCATTCTGTAGTGGATGAAAATATTGACTTTGTATTCTAGGGTTATGAAATATTCGCCAGGAGCTTCAAAATGATGTGTCACACGGCCCCCCTTTTCTAGTCGCCATATTGAAATTTTCATCTGTCAATTCTACTCCAAAATATAGTATTCATGCACCAATTTCATCACCCCAAGTTTCAAATTTTGTCACTTGACCCGTTCAAAAAATTACAAGGAGGGAGGGCATTGAAGAAAAGCACTGTATGAACACAGTTGGTGGTGGCTAGGTGGTGGCCACCAATGCATGAATAAAAGAACGTCCCTTATATAGTGTAGAGTTGATTGGTTTGGAGATAAGACTTTGATGTTTAATGTGTCAGATTTAGAAGAGATACCCTCCGTCATCACCTGTACTGGAAATCCAAAATAGCATATTATTATATACAAGTTTTATAAGACACTATATTATCGCACGCATTGTTGCATTAGTGCGCTACTCTTTTCTTGAAAAAAAATTATCAATAGAACATCAAATATTTGGAAGATATGGAGTAAGTTTAGTTGGTAACAATGGAAAAACATTTGAATGTTCATTTCCAAATTTGACAGAAGGTTGAAAAAATACTCAAATCAACCTCATTATTCCAGCGATATAATTTGAAATTGTTGGTCTCTCAAAATTCTGAATTTCCTATTTTGAGAATGATTGAAGAGGCAAATTCAAGTTGCACCCCTCCTGAACGGAGGGAATTTGTCCAAACGGCTATATGAATGGTTTATTT